TTTTATTTATTTATTTATTTATTTGTTTGTTTTTGTTTATACATGCACTGGGTACAGTCAGAAGCGCGGGAGGGTGAAGAATTCACCAGAGCCAGAGCGGGAAGCAGAGCAGGCAGAAGGACTGAAGTACACTGCTGAGGGGAGCAGCGGGCGGCAGGAGAGGTCTGCACGCCATGGTGGGACCCTCCTCTGGTGGCCGGGGAGGCAGCTAGGGATCGAACGGCGCCGCAGAGGCCGCGAGCAGCTTCGCAACCCAGCGCTCAACCGCTGCGCCACCGGGGAGGCCCATGGAAAAGTTTTAAGCAGAGAAATTTGATGTGATTGAACTTCATGTTTTCTTCCATTGTCATTAAAATAAAGGCAGAAGTCACCAGAATGTCATAGTTCTGTAATGTGCCTTTAAGAAATGTAAAAGTATAGTTCTTGTGGTGTGGAGTCCAAGGTCCATGATTCAACCTTCATATTCTTTTCTTTTCTTTTTTTTTTCACTTTCAGTTCCAAAGAAAGTGAACAATGAAGCCACCATTTCTTTTGGCCCTTGTGATCTGTTCTGTAGTCAGCACAAACTTGAAGATGGTATCAAAGAGAAATTCTGGTAAGTGACAACTCTTCATTATTTGGCCAAAAATGCATGTTTTTTGTGAGCATTCAGGGAGCCTTTGTGCCTTTTAACTATGAATACCTTAAAACAGAAGCACTTGTATTCCAGCTATGTTGGAAAGTAGCCAAAATTAAAAATGAGATTTTAGCCTACCACCGAGAAAATGTTGGGAAACCAGTGGAATTTTGATAAATTTAAATGACAGTGTACGACTCTCAGTAGACAGTGAGATGTTAAGGACCTATTTAGGATTGGATATATTTGTGACTACATACCTGGGAGCAAATATTTGCAAATGAGAAAACAGAAAACCTTTAGAAAATATGTATCCCTTGCCTCCTTAATTGAATGTGCAGAATTACAGTTAAAATGAAAGTTTGGACAAATATTATTAGGTTTAGTTTGTCACATTTATTATTTGTACTGATTGCCTAATAGGCAGAGATTTAAAGCCTCTGCATTTGGAAATATTAGCTAATTGCCTGGAGAGACATTTCTTAAGAAGAAATACCTATTCCTAGAACATGGTGGCCTGGCAGGTGGCCACAATTGTACTAGGAGATTAGCTGTAGCTAGTAGATACTCCAATCAAAGCTTAATCATTGTTTAATAACACTTGGATATATATGTCTTTCAGTTTTTATTATACATTCTGGCTATAATTGCAAACCATCCATGCAATTTAAAAAATTGATTTTCTGTCTGTAATCATTCCAGTAAGACATTGAGGAATGTGTTGTTATGTGAAAACAAAAGACTACGATTGCCTTTCTGCTGGTTTTGAATTCAGTTAATTCCTAGAATTAATTGTATGCTCTTTACTTATTAAGAATAAAACCCAGGAAGTTGTGTACATGCCTGTTATTCAAACCAGTAAATGATAACTTAACTTAAAGCTTGCTGAAAGTTTGTTTTCTGATGTGAGAATACTTGCTAGTGGAAATGGCTGAAGAATAGTCTAGTTTTCAACTGATAGTATAGTAATACGTTTTTCATAAAAGGGGGTGACAGGTTGTAAAAGAAAGCAACACTGTTGAAGGCAGTAGGATACTGGAAGGGTACAGGTAGGACTTCAATTTTGCTATTTCTTTTTATCTGGAAAATTATGTCCGTCGAGTATGCAAGGCCTTTATTTGGGGGGAAATTAACATGTCCCCTTTGCTGTTCTGTGACTTTTGCTGTTGCTGCTGGAAGATGTGAACTGTTTTACAAAGGTGTTGGAATTCAATTCCTCCAAGCCTAAACCTCCCAATCAGTGGAAAAAGGAATAGGGCGGCCAGTTTGATAAGCGGGTTAGTTCAGAACCCAAATTGGGTCACCTTGCGGTCATTTCATTTGGAGGATGACCATAACAAAGCAACTTCTCAGTGATTTGGTGTATAAAAGAAAATTGTGGAGCTACTAAAATATTTTAATCAGCTAGAAAAATGAATTCCCCAGCGGTAAGGAGGACTTGAAGGCCTGTTGGCACATAATGCCAAGTCCCTCGTGGATTGAGTTGAAAGCAACCATTCAATTCCATATAATGAATAAATGGATTTACATGCTGCTTTGACTTATAGGTTTATAGAATTATGAGTTTTCTTGTTGATTAGAGGGTCACAGTTTGTTTTAGCACTTCTTTGGTTTCAGAATTTCCAGTCAGATGACTGAGGGAAGCCATAATAAAGACAGAAATGGAGATTATGTTAAATGGAGATTATATTAAATGTAAGTCTGTATTTCTAGCAAAGTTGGAAAGTCTTTGAAACAATTTGCAAGTATAAACAAAATAACTTCCCTTGTGAAACTGATTGTTATCTAATTGAAAATAAAATATCATTCTTTGAATTCTTAAAAAGGAAGCAAAATGTTTTATTTTAAAATGGTGTTTAGATGTAATGTCCCTCTGAGGATGTCCATGCTGTCTTTAACCATGGAATACAAGAGTACTAGATTAGAATTTAGAATACCAACAAGGTGCTGTTGAATCCTCATCTCCTAAATGTATTCTAGCCACCTAAGATTAGGGAGAAAAATGCCTCTCCAATGATTTTTTTAAAAATATTTATTTATTTATGCATGCAAGAGCTGGGGTACAGGCCAGAGATGCGGAGGGTGAGAGGATTCACCAGAGACAAAGTGGGAAACAGAACAGGCAGACTGACTGAAATACACTGCTGAGGGGAGTAGAGGGCAAGACAGGAGAGGTCTGCTTCACCATGTCGGTTTCTCCCTGGTGGGCTGGGATCGTACTGGTGTTGCTGAGGCTGCGATTGCTTCATAGTGCGGTGCTTAACCCCTTGCTCCACCAGGGTGGCCCTCCAATGATCTCTTTAACTGAAAGGGAGTGCTAGTCTTAGACTTAGACTTGATACTTTTATCTCTTTAGTTATGGTAACTTCCAAGGAGAAAATTGCATCTTAGAAGAAAGAAGAGGTACTGGAAGGGGTGGCTTGGTCATAGGAAGTGATAGAGGTTTGGTATTGAACTTTAGTACAAGACAAAGTATATAGTTGGTAAGGCAAAGGTGAGAGAGTGAGAGAGTGATGAATAAGAGAGAGTGATGAATAAGAAAAAACTTATGACCAGAATGGAACTGAATGAAACGCCTATGTATTGACAAAATTGAAAGGCAAATAATTTTACGATTCTCATTGAATTTGGTATGGACAGAAGCATAGCCAGTTATGAAATACTTACTGGACTCTTACTGTATATGCAATATTCCACTAGTCCTATGGTGGGGGAAGGGATTTGAGAAAATAAGCCAAACTCCCTAGTTTAATCACTGCTATAAATGAATGGAAAAGCAAATTAGGTTAACCTGATGGGACATGATATAACTATTAACAGAACCAATATTTAGACCACATTTAGATACAGAAAAAAGAATATCAAACATTAAGTGAAAGAAAACAGAACACAGTGATGTTGAAGATATATATTTAAACTAATAGAAATTGAAAAAGAATTCCAAATGTTTATCATTTATAGTTAGATGATTTTTTTTTCCTGCAGAGGTAAGTGTATGATAAACAAGAGATTAGTTAAGTGGGAGTAAATAATCTTACTGGTGATGCTTCATGAATATGATACTCCTGAAGAATAGTGCAAGAGGATTTGATTCAGTGTTAAATTTGCACATCATAGATCTCCAAAGGTAGGGAGTCCAGAGAAGGGCAGTTCTATAGAAGTGGACATTCTATAGAAGATGAGGATTTGATGCAGATACTGAAGACAGGTAGGAGCAGAGTGAGCTATATGAGGGAGAATATTCAAAGGAGCATAGTGTACGCGAATGGAAATGGAATGAGTATTTCTCCTGTCTCCAGGGAGAAGTGTGCATCAGCAAGTGGGAAGCAGTTGAAGTTGGCTAAGCAAGCCAAGCCAAGCTAAAAAATAGAGGCTTTTAGGTTTTGTTTTTCAGTAGAATCATGATGAATGATGACTCTTACAGAGTGTTCCGGTGAGAGAAATATCTAAAATAATTCCCTTGGGAGAAACTAGAACTTGACTTGGAAATTTTACTGAGACAGATTAGTTTCTTTTTAAATTTTCTCAACTTTTTATCTTGAAACATTTCAAACCTATAAGAATATGACCACCCATATACTCTTAACCAACATTCATGTTTTTAACATTTTTGTTACATTTACTTTTTTTGCTCTCTACCTTTTCCTCTCCCTCCTACTCCCTCTCTTGCTTCCTGTCTGTCCCTCTTTCACCATTAAATATTGCATTGATGTGAACTTAGCTGGGGATTTTTTCTAGGTGTTCTTTTAATATATTAAGGAATTCCCTTCTATTACTAGTTTGCTGAATTATTTTTGTTGTTTTTATGAATTTGTTGTCAATTCTATCAAATGCTTTTTCTGCATCTATTGAGATGATCAGATGATATTTTTCTTTTAGTCTTAATGTGAAATACATGGGTTGATTTTTTTTCAGCTGTTATAAGGGATAAACGCTACTTAGTCATGATGTATTATTCATCTTACATGTTGTTATCACCATATCGATGGTTTTATTTTAATTTTTTTGGTTGTAATTGAAGGTTATTTGCATCCACATTCACAAATTACTGTGTCTTTTTTTTTTTGATAGGTTTTGATGTCAGGATTGCTTTGGCCTCATGAAATGATTTAGGAGGTGTTCTTATACCCTTTATTTTCTGAAATGACATTTCTTTTTCAAAAGTTTGCTGTTATTGACCATTAATACCATCTGGAGCTGATTTCTTTGTGAAAATACTATTTTTTTCCTATTATTCTTTTAGTTTCTTCAATTGGTACAGAGCTACTCAAATTTTCTCTTATGTCACATCTGGTTATTTGTGTTTTTGTAAGACATACATTTTCAAGTAATTTTTAAATTTATTGACATGAAATCATTGATAACATTCACCTCATAACCTTTGAATGTCTGTAAGATCTATAATATTATCCCCTATTTTATTCTTAATATTTATTTTCTTTTTTTTTCTCAATTAGTCTTATTTTCTAGGAACTTATCAGATACATAAATCTTTTCAAAATCCCAGCTTTTGACTTTCCCATTTATTGCTGGTTTCCTTCCTTCCTCACTATCTTACCTCTCCTCCCTCTCTATCATACCCTGCCTTTATTTTCAGTTTCCACTTTTTCTACGTTCGTAAGATAGAAACTTAGATCATGGATTTTGATCCTTTCTTTTTTTCTAACAAAGGCATTAACATCTATGAATTTTCCTCTAAGTACTGCCATAGCTGAGAACCAGAAATTTTGATAAATTATGATTGCATTATATAGTTCAAAATATTTTCTATCTTAGTTTTTAAGTTATTCTTTTAACCAAAGTTATTTAAAAGTGTTATTTAATTTCCAAATATTAAATGATTTTGTAGATGCCTTGTTTTCATTTTATTTTTTTAAAGATTTATTTATCTATGCATACAAGAACTGGGGTACAGGCCAGAGGTGTGGGGAGTGATAGGATTCACCAGATACAGAGTGGGGAACAGAACAGGAGGATTG